GGTCCATCAGGTTCAGGTCATTTTGTTAAAATGGTTCATAATGGTATTGAATATGGTGATATGCAACTCATTTGTGAAGCTTATCACATAATGAAAGATATTCTAAAAATGTCCAATGATGAAATAGCTGCAGTAAAACATATTTTTACTTATTTATTTCTTTTTGCTTTACAAAATTTTCTTTGATTCTAGACATTCGAAGAATGGAATAAAGGAAAATTAGATTCATTTTTAATTCAAATAACAGCTGAAATTTTACGCTATAAAGAAAATGGTAAACATGTGTTAGATTTAATTCGAGATTCAGCTGGACAGGTTATTTCATTGTTTGAGTTATTATCTTTTGTTTTTCAATGAATTTTATTATTTAGAAAGGTACTGGTAAATGGACAGGTATTGCTGCACTTGAATATGGTGTACCTGTAACATTGATTGGTAAGATAATCTGTTTGTATGAAGAAGAAAGCTGAAAATTATATATTTTTTTTTCTAAAAGGTGAATCTGTTTTTGCTCGATGTCTATCATCATTACTTGACGAGCGACATCGTGCATCATCAGAATTAAAAGGACCTAAAGTACAAGATTTTGATGGTGATAAAAAGGAATTTCTTGAATATCTTGGTCAAGCATTATATGCATCAAAAATTATATCATATGCTCAAGGTTTTATGCTTATGCGTGAAGCAGCTAAACAACATTCATGGAAACTAAATTATGGTTCAATTGCACTTATGTGGCGTGGTGGTTGTATTATTCGAAGGTATGTTTTTTTCTCTTGAATTATATATGGTTTTTTTTATTATTTTATTTTCATTGCAGTATATTTTTGGGAAATATAAAAGCAGCATACGATAAAAATGAATCATTGGAAAATTTGCTGATGGATAATTTCTTTATGGATGCTATTAATAAATGTCAACAAGGTTGGCGAAAAGTTATTGCAACAGCAACTATCTACGGTGTACCAATACCTTGTTTTAGCACTGGTAAAGTTTTGTGTTTCTTGTTTTGTTGATTTATACATTTAATCAATACATTTTATTTCATTTTAAGCATTGGCTTTTTATGATGGTTATCGTTCAAAACGTTTACCAGCCAATCTTATACAGGTTAATAGAAATTTTTTTTTTTTTATTTAATTTTTTTGAGTTTTGAGAAAAAAAGCAGGAAAAGAAATTCGATGGGCAAAAAAAAACCATCAAATGAATCATTTTTTTAGGAAACAAAAAGACAGTATGATATTGTACAAGCAAAATTATAGAAATAAAATTGATGTAGATTAATGATGGATTTGAATGTGATTTTATTTTTGAATTATTTCTAGGCTCAACGTGATTATTTTGGTGCACATACATATGAATTACTTGAAAAACCTGGTGAATGGATCCATAGAAATTGGACTGGTCATGGTGGAAATGTTACAGCATCAACATATCAGCGTTAGCTTGTTTTTTTTTGGTTTTGCTTCTCATCAAACTAGTTTCATTCACCAGGTGGTTGTGCTTTTTTTTGTTTGTTTAGTGTTTATTTTTTATTTATGTTATCCTGCTTTTGATGCACCCATGAAAAAAAGAGGGATCCGTAGTTATGATTATTGATGCATAAAATAAAACTTAAGATTGTTTATTAATCAGTAAACCAAAATAGGTTTTTTTAAATGTAATGAATTAATCTTTTCAGGACGGAATTACTCTCATGAAGACATCAACTTTTATGGAAGTAAAAATTTGATTCATTACTTGTTCGTTATTTGTTGGACACTTTGTTCATTGAGTTTATGTTAGTTTTCTAATATCTAATTTTTTAATATGTGAACAAAACAAAGATGTTTGCTGTATGTCTTCGTAATAATTATTTATTTGAAGATGAACAGTTAATAGTATGTATGATATTTGAGTAGAGAACCTATAAATCAAAATTGTAATCGAATACAATAAAGCAACGACTGTTATGAACTTGTATCATATATCTTAATATCATGTTAAAGGGTGTGGGGGTGGGTGTGGGTGAGGGTGCGGGTGTGTGGGTGGGTGTGCGTGTGGGG